CTATGTTGTTTCCATTGTATAATATTGTGATGTGATCAGAAATAGGATGACTTTATTAGTGGATAGCAGTATTGCTTGGATTATTGCTAGGAAAAACCACCTGTTGTTTTTGTGTGTTGCTTCTACCCTAACAGAGGTTGAGGAGTTTTCTGATGTTAAGTCAAATCCAAATGTTTTAAAAAGCATGGGTCTAACACACGAAAAATCACGAAATGGACTTGAAAGCTAAAGGATTAGTTATGCAGTTTAAAAGAACACTATCACTTTTCAGTTTTCAGTATGTAAGGGGCACATCATAATGATCTTCCTTGTAATCATGTGCTGTAAATGCCTAAAGGAAAAGAGATCCCACCTCATTTACTGTATCATTCCAAGACATAGCAACATGGTCTTCCTACTTTGCTGGAAGCACAAGTTTACTGGTAAAACAGTGGCTTGGTGTTTGTGACATTCCCTCTCTTTCTGGATTCTTTGAAATTTGTACCTTAGCATTGCATTTAGGATAGATATCAGTGCCAGTGTAGAGTTAGTCATTCCTATACAGAGGTACAAATGGATTAATTGGCAGCTCCAAAAGACTTAAGAGTGGAATGAGCATAGATGTGAAAGGAAGAATAGGGAAAAGAGGGAATGAACTGGGGAAGAGCACATCCACATAGGCTTAGCTCAACAGGAGCAAGCTGAGTGACCACACGAGATCAGAGGATGAACAAAACAGAACCAAATGAATAGCAGGTGTGTAAAGCAGAGATCACTTTGTTCAAACTAGAGGAGTCTGAAATTGCAAAGGGACCTGGGGTTGTTAATAGGAAAATTTGGGAGCTGCTCCTTTTCTCCAAGAAGAGGTCCTGGAGCCTGGTTTCAGTGGACATCTTTAACGAGCTCTTCACAGCACTGGTGATTTCTCACGGTAGGAGGACGTGTTAAGCTGAAACCTCTACAAAAGGGAGGTCAAAATAAACACACTGAGAGACATGAACTCTAACCTTTCCCTAAGGAGCCCAGTCATAAAAGCACCTATTCTATAATTGCTGTCATCTTGGATTGTCGCTAAGGTACAACTGCAGTGTGTATCACATGGACTTGTAGCTCCTAAAACATACCCATACTTGAGGACTGCAGTTCTTTCTACAGTGTGTAGCCAGGCAGGAGTGAAGTGTGAAGCTGAACCCTGGAATTCTAATTTTTTTTTTTTATTTGAAATCATAGAATGGTTTAGGTTGGAAGGGACCTTAAAGATCATCTAGTTCCAATCCCCTGCCATAGACAGGGACACCTTTCACCCCACCAGGTTGCTCAAAGCCCCATCCAGCCTGGCTTTGAATACTGCCAGGGATGGGGCAGCCACATCAGCTTCTCTGGGAAAGCTGTTCCAGTGCCTCACCACCCTCACAGTGTAGAACTTTTCCCTAATACCTGGTTTAAATCTCCTCTTTTTCAGTCTAAAGTCATTCCCCCTTGTCCTGTCACTACATGCTCTTGTAAAAAGTCCCTCTCCATGCTTTTTGGAAAAGTATATAGAAAATACTCTTTTAAAATTAGCACTTTTTGAAAGTCCAAGGGAAAGTTTAAACATTTCTTTTGCAATTGGGTTTCTTTTTGGACTTAGCTGAACTATCAATGAACTGTTCTTTCCGTGGTTTCCAATTTAGAAAGGACTGAGCACTTGCTTGCTTCTCTAAACTTCACCTATGAATTATTGTTTAATTGACACCATTGCCAATTATTTAAAAGTATGCATAACAGTCATTACTAGAGATGTATGTTGCAGATGTGTGATTAATTCCCACTGATGTGATAAACACTCAAAGTGTTTGCTTTGGTTGTAACCCTAAGTGTGTTTTTCACTTCAAATGCAGGCTTAAGCAATGTATTAATTTCACCTTATTTTTAGAAGATTTTCACGTTTGTTGTTTCCGTAGCTATGGAGCCCATGTAAGGAAGCCATGGCCTTCTATTACCCAGCTGTTGGACTAAACCCTTTCTGGAATCCCCATTATGTCCAGCTGTTGGGGTCAGATGGCTTCAGAAGCAAGTGAATTGCTGTGATAGCAGAGGGTATCCATGAGGACACGTATTGCTTCTCAAGGATCAATGTGAGCCTCAGAGGCTCTGTTTGATTTAGTTACAAGGGATGTTGTCAAAGCTGTGGAAGCCCCAGAATTGCCCTCACAGGCTTGCTGTCCCATTCTGGAACAGATGGGCACATGAGTTCCCTCAACAAGCTGTGACAGGGCTTGATGAGTAAATAACAAAGCAAAAGGCACAGATCTCTGGGAGACTTGAAGTATTGATGTTAAATAGACCTGTGCATTTCACTCAAAAGAGAAGCACACCTGGTGCTGTTGGCCAGATACCTGGCAACAGCCAGATTGTCTTTTGTAATCAGACAATATTTTATGCTGTTTTTTTAAATGTGAACACTGATGTTGCATTATTTTTATGGGCCCTGTTTTACAGGTACATGTTCAGAATGTTCTTAGATTTGATAAACTTGAGAGAGGGTAAGCCTTGCAGTGGGATTGCTAGTATCAGACATAGGTCATACAGACACAAATTCTGTTACCTAGAAACTTTTTATTCTGACTTTGGGTTGTGCAGTCATGGATGAGCCTGGCAAACTGCTGATGCAAATTAGGATGTGGAGTTAAGGTTGTTCTCTGTTGGTATCTAAATTCTCTACAAGTGAAATAGTGATGATAGCTATTTCTTTGTGCCACTCGTTGTCCACATTCTATATTTAGGGTGTCAGATCACTTCAGGAGGAGACTGCCTCTTTCTAGGTGTGTGAATACTTAGCTCTGATCTTATTTTTGTTTGATGTGACATGAATAACAAGTAGTAATAACAAATGTAAAAGTTTGTCTTCAGTTTCAGTTTCTAAAATAGTAGTGGAGGGATCAAACAGTGTCTACAAAATAAAGGGTGCAGACTTTGAGCAAGGATATTGAGGGAAAGAGACAGCTTTGTGGGAGCCTTGCTGAAAGGACTCTATTTGGGGAGAAGGAGGGGAGGTTTGGAAAGGAGGAAAGAGAAAATGTCCCTCATTGAGTGAGGAGTTAGGAGGAGGAGGAATGCCTGGGGATGGGGTGTTGTGTAAAACCTTCAGCAGAGGAGTGTAACAGCGTGTTCAAAGCTGAGGATGAGAAGCAGGTTTGCTGGCAGTGCCGACCATGTTATGTTATGTTACAGGGTGGTGTCACTGCCAGCAGTGGCGGTATCGCTTTGGTCTTAAGTCATTTCTAGTGGCGACACTGAAGAGGGGTGCCTCTGTCTTACCTCTCCTCTAGGCAGAGGATTTGGGCAGACACCTCCAGCATGTGGTACATCCTGCTCAGGGCCCACATCACCCTCTGGAGAAACCTCAGTCTCCCGACTAGAAGGGGAGACTGGGACAAGTGGGCATCCAACTCACATTATTGGTTCCTAGGTGGTTCTGAATTAAATGGTTCCTTTTGCCCGTATCAGGACCATTCCTTTCCCAATGAGAGGCTTTCCCAACCCAAAAGGTAACAGACAAAAACCAAGACTGAAAACAAAGCATTTTTTTTCCACTCTGTATTTTTACCTGGTTTATTTAAGCTTTGACTAGAAGTGTGTCAGCATTTTTAAGAAAGACAACAAGCAGACTGCTTCATCCCAGTGACAATTTGATTTTTGCAGATTTCTGCACTCTTGGTTTTTTACATAACAGAAGAATTTGGATTACTTTTTAATTCTTGTAATACATTTTTTTTCTTTTTTCTCCATGACAATCCATGAGTTTGTCCTGCCTGGCTTTGTTTATTTTGAAAAACAACTGTTCCTGGCTTTTTATTTTACTTTTTTGTGACCAGCACTCACCCGTTTTGTCTTATAAAAATTAATCATATCAGAGATCAGCTGAGCAGGAACGAGGTATATTCTTTCTTAATCTGCAGTGCTCTTGTAAACGTAAAATGTACTTTTTTTACACGGTTCCTATGACGACACTGCTTGAATGAGCAAAAAGGTGAAGTCATTTTAATCGAAGGAATTGCATGAGTAGTGATAATTTTTTTGCATTGAAATATGACTAGAACCTACCTAGAAGAAAATGTTCTGGCTCACACAGGCTTCATTAGACTGTGCTTTCAAAATGGATTTCCTTCAGGAAAGGAAACTCTTCCATCATAGTTCAGAATTGCATTAGTGAATGCTCATTTTTTTGAGATACACCTGTCTTGATTACACGCAGGGGCATAAAGTTTCAGGAGATAACCTTGAAGAGCAGCTAGTTTTGGCTTAACTCTGCCTCTTGTGGTAACTACAGAAATTATAGCAGAGTTAAGGCAACCATAAGTACTTCTGGAAGTGTTACCCTGTATTTTTAATCAATTGTATTTAACTATAGCAGTCAATAAAAAAACCCTCAAAAGATAAATAATACTAATAATCAAGCTCTGACTGCTTTAAAAAGGGGAAATCCTTTAAAATAATGTAAAATAAAACCTGCCTTTTTGTAAACAGGCAATACTGAGTAAGCAGGAATTTAGGGTCCCATTTAGATGTTAGTTGTGCTTCAATATTTGAATGAGGATTGGTCCAAGGCCTAAACCACCTAAATACTTTAAAATATATTCATAAATAATCATTCTTTATACATCGTACTTGTTCTTGCTGTGTGTCAAAACCATGGACTTCTTTGTTCCCCAAGAAAATAAAGCAAGGGATTATTTTCTCTTTTGGCACAAAAAGGTAAAAATAAAGAACTAGCAGCACCCTCCAGGAAGTGCATGGAATACTACCAAATTGGTCTTTACTTGCCTTTGCTATCTTTTTTTTTACAAAAGTCTTAAATATAGGTTAACATGTAAACAAACTGCACACACTGAGAGTTTGATCCTGGCCTGTTGAAATTCCCATTCAAAATTTCCATTAGCTGCGGTGGTGCAAGATCAAGCTCCAAGTTAGTACGGTACATACAAGCCGAAGTCATTGAGGGAGCTACGGCTGCAGGAAAGCAAAATCATGTGCTCGTTTCAAAACCAGTTGCTGGAGGAATCAGACTTGGCGCCAATGACCTTCCTGCACATGTTGGAGTTCTCCTGATGGAGAGGGTACTCATTACCTGCCAATGGTTCTGCCTTCCCTCTCCTTGCAGTGTACCGCCTGCCCGATGGTAGACTTTCATACTTAGTCACGTAACTCCTGTGAAGGCACAAAATGATTGGTCTGGCATTAACAAATACATGCAAAACCTGTACCCTGTAGGTGATGCTAGAGAGAAACATTTTACAAACAGATGAGATTACACTTCTACCATGTGTAGGTGTGATCAGAAGGTGGTGTAGTATCTGCAAAATAGCAGATACTGTTTTCTGAGGATTTCCTGGAGATGCGTGAGTTCTTTAATTCCTCTCAGGCTTACCACCTTTTGGATCAGAAAAGCCTGAACGGAAATTTGGCACAGGCTCTGCAAATGTTATTGCCCTTAGGTCTTAGCAAATATGGATTAGGAGGAAGTAGTAAACCCACTTTCTCACATGTCAATACAATTGCCACTCTTCGGCTACTGGAAAGCATCTTTTTTATCTTATTGTGCAGTCGTTTAGCTTTCAGGTAAGTTGGTACCTTAATAAAATATGATAGAACATGACAGTTGCAAGAGCTCAGTACACCAGGTACATTTGTTGATGCTGGTAAATAGCAGATGATGAAGAAAACTTTCCACTTCAGCTAATTTATGGCTATACACTTCACCTCTCACCAGTGTAATAGAGAACTACTGCTGGCAAAGTTCCAGGTCATCATCAGAACTGATCATACTTGAGGGGTACACTGTGATACTCAAAAAGGTCCTTTCTGAATCTCAGGGGTTAAAGACAGGGGAGAATGGGTTAGGAGAGAGGCTGATGAATGTAACAGCCTACACTGCATCTGACTGTGCTAGGCTGAAATTTGGCCTCTGTTAATCTCTTGTGACTGAGAACACCACAAGTTCCTGATCCAGCAGCTGGCTGGAAGGACACCTCAGAAATTGCGTGCTCTTAGTTCTTACCTGCATGGAGAATCGACTCTGTCCATCTGCATACAGACTAAAAATGGGTACTGCGAAAACTGCACCGTAGAGATGAAGTCTAATGTCGTTTCTACTTCGAACGTGGTTTCCATGCCAGTTTTTACAAAGAAGGAGTCCACCTCGGTGTTACCAGCTATAAACATGGCTACCCTGCAAATAAATTCAGGCATTGCAATTAGTTCAAACCACATTAAGAAAGAGGAAATTAAATTGCAAACAGTCCTACCATCCATGCATGAAAAGTGAAGAAAGGAGCCTGTTCTTCAGGTGAAGAGATATAATTTAGATGAGACCAGTGGGAACCGGTATTACCCAGATGGAAAGAGAAAGATAAGTACAAATGTTCTCCCATGCCCATAACTTATTTCATTTTAACTCATTTGCAAGGTCTTTTATATTTAAATTATTCTCATTTGGACTACTGGAGCTCAGGAGCCTCTGCAGCTATAGTGCATGGTGGGAGTATCTCACCGGTTCTTGATGTTGGTTTTGGATTCCCTGTACCACAGGCTGAACTCCATCCCTCCTGAGATGTCGATGGCCAGGCCACCCAGGAACTCTGCGCTGGCCCTTGGCCCAGACTGCAGCTGGATCTCCTAGAGCCATCAGAAAGCACAGGTAACTCCCGTTACTGACTGCAGACCTCAGTGGTTTCCTTATTCCCTTGTGTACTGCCATCATTTTGCAGGAACAAAAAGGAATAGAGGGTTTTTCTGAAAGGGTGGACAAAACACCCCTGATGTACATCACTCCGTAGAAATTGGGATGAAGCTAAGGCAAGGTGCCTTGCATCCTTTCCCTCTCCACTGTATGCCAGTTGGCATCATTTCTGCAATGAGTATCAATGCAAGGGGTATCATGGCCTCTGTCTCCAAGAGCTACTACGCAAGCCTCACAGAGGCTCTGCTGGCAGTCCAGCTAAATCAGATTAAACTCACTGCAGCAATGGTGCGGTGCAGTGTAACCTCTTCAGCACACCTGAAGGCAGCCCCATACTGGTGGTAGGATACACAGCGCTGCAAGCAGTCATGCAGTGTGTAGCGGCTCTGAACCCACCATATGGCAGGAACATGTCTGCAGTGATCAAACCCATAAACTAATGTGCCTTAATTGCTACTATGGATTTGCTTTTAATGCGTTTTCAATCAATGATCAAGTGGACTCATGGCTACCTGAAACCTCTATGGCCAGACTGGAAACTCATCACGTGGAGTCTATTTCGGAAGTGATAATATAGCTCAGGGTCATGGCAGCTCATTACTTTTAAATTTTGATACCCAGCCAAGATTTTAAGGTTCACTGAGCCTGGCAATCAAACTCACTTTATACAGTTGTCCCGCTTCCCTAAGAACTAGTGGATTCATTCACTGTTTTAAAAGAACGATTAATTTGGGAAAAGTTTATTTTGATCATGTTCCTTACATACAGGACACCCAGCTGTCTCCCAGTTGGTTTCTCTTCTCCCCCTGGGTTTCTGTGCCTGTGGTATTCTCAGCACCTGTAATCTTGGCAGCATTTGTGGGACATGTGAATACCCAATTTTCTCCCCCTTCCTCATGTCCAGGCACTTTGAAAGTTTCTCTTGTCAGGTATTCAGTAACCCAGTGGTTCCAGCTAATGTTGTCCCAAGATTTAAGAAAGAAGCAAGCAGAGACAGTCTGTCTTCCTAATCCCTAAAGCAAGGAGCAACATCTAGGAAGGATTTTATTCAGAGCATTAAAGTTTTCCTGCCATAATCAAGGACTTGGGTGATTATGGTGCCTGTATATGGCTACTTCACTTTTTAGGGTAAATAAACAATCTCTGGAACAATGTCCTTTGCAGAACCAACTTGGCGCTTAGTTGCTGCTGAAGCGGGCTTCAGATTTAATGTAAGAATGAAGTGGGCTGTCTGTGGCTTATAAATCCAGTGTGCCCCCAGCACGTGTGGTCATACTGTGCTCTGATTTCTTATTTTCACCCAAGTAAAAATCATGGCTTGGAATTCTGGCCTTCCTGAAGTCAAAGGGAGTTTTTGTACTGACTGCAATGGGGCAAGGAATACTTTCCCTGTCGGTCTCTTTAGACGTGGAGGTAAAGCTTGTTTTACTTTATTTGACTTCGCTTTTAATTGGGACTGAATAGGAGGGTAGCTGTTAATGAGCGAGGAGGTAACAGTATACAGTCTGGCAGAGACATATATACACAACCAGAGGAGCAGCTATTTTTAGATGCATTGTCAAATTGCACCTAAAAATATTAGAGTAGGATTGGTTTGCAATGGCTGCACAGTTAAAGGCTTTAAAGGCTACCTTGAATTAAGTCAGTTTTGTCACTGAAACCAGCAGAGAAGTGAAGGAGCACTTGTCCTGTGTTTTACCAGCTCATCTACTACCTTATTTGGAGCGCAGTCCTATCCTTTGCCTCATGTGCAAATACAATCCAGGCTGATGGGAGGTGTAAATCACAGCAACCAGGAACAGTATTCTCCTTTCCCTTCCTATTTTAAGCTTTGTATCATTTGCAGAGGAAAATGGGATCTGAAAGATCAGAACTGGTAGTTTGTCACTGTGTAAACTGCTGAAATGTGCTATGTTTCAACAAAAGAAGTTTGTTTACGCACTGCACTGACAGTGCTACTGTAATGCAATGCAGAGATGGCTGAAACAGGAACTTCTTTGGGAACTGGCTATCTTCCACTGGGGTCTGGCTTTCAAATGGATTCTCTGACCTATTAATACAGTATTTAATTTCTCTGTGCTTCTAGCAGGTGTGTTGCCTAGGAGAAATATTAACACTACTGAACTTTAATGCACTTAGGAGTCTCAAAAACAGTTTTATGAGAGCTGTTTATAGAGGGAATTATAGAGGGGGAATGATAACTTCTGGATGGTTATTCTTAGCCCTCAGAGAACTCTGTGAGAACTGGCAATAGCTGCAAAATGCACTCTGACTTCAATTTGTGGAGTTATATAAGAAAAGATGTTATAGATGGTGGCAGGAGCATAAGCTTTAAAAGCGATATTATTAACTTGGAAATCACTTCTCCAAAATGTGCCTATTGTGATTACTGCAGTTGTAGAGTTAATAACTGGGGTAAGAAAATTGGGGGTGGGGAGGATGAGTTACTTGATAGATTCGGCAGCACTTTAAGTACAACTCAGTTTTGGTCTTTCTGTGCAAAATGATTCTTATGAACATTCTTATAGGGGAGCAGAATTTTTCTAATATTTAAAAATAACTTTTCTCAAAATCAGGCTGCACTAGTGCAAAACTTTCAACACAAATATTACACAGGGTTTTTTCTGAAAATTCACTTCCCCTGTTTTGAAGTTCCAGTCTTGGCTTCCAACACATCCTTTTGTTGTTTGATCTCAACTGCATTGTTTGTATCTTATGTTTGGGTTTTGCCTGTTCTGAAATCACTGCAGCAAACTGTGGCACACTGAGTTTTGGTATCATAGAATGGGTGCTGTTGCCCATGCCTGGTTTTCTTCTTTGAAAGAAGATAAATCCATGTTTGGCTTGGTTGTCTACAGTGTGAATTTGTGAAGGGCCTTATGTTCAGGGCAATGTCCATGCTGGCCAGGGAGAGTGGAGGTAGTACTCAGCTATCAAGAAGCTAGATTAATTATGACTCTCTTGCACTGTTTTTCCTCAGTTACAGTGTTACACCATTCACACTTCCATTCTGACAGCATTTTCTGGTACAGCTGTAATCACAGTTCAACTGTAGGTTGGCAGTGAGGGCACTTATAATGAAGCTTAACTGTGTTATGTGGAAGTGCCCAAACCATGTTGATGTTGCCTGGAACCTATCTGTAACAGCATTCCTAGGAAGATGTGCTGTGTTTAAAATGCAGTTTATCCTGAAGCTGTGTTCAACAGCACTTTTTAAGTATTTTTTGTCTTTGTGGGGTGTAGAGGTAAGAACGAGTGCCTTTTTGGTTGTGAACACACACTTTCAGTTGTGTCCACTGCTTGAGTCCCAAAGAGCTTAGGCAGCAAGTGTGATAGTGGCAACCAAAGAGAGAAAGCAGATGGGATCCCACCTCACCATACTGCTGCCCAGGCTTCCAGAGAGTCAGTGACTGACCGAAAATGTTACACCCTGGTGTTGTTAAAAATGGCATGCAATCCCACCCCTGGCATGCCCCAGACTTCTGTGGGGTTCTCTAAAGATGAGGATTGGAGAATCTGCTGGCTGGCAGAGCTCTCAGGATGCCCAGCCATCTGATTCAGCCCAGGTATGTATGGAGCTTGGTGCATGCACAGCAGTTGGAAATATTTAGTTCTGTAAACACCATGCTCATATGCTTAGGACTGGACATGATTATCTTTCTCACCTCTGCAACCTGTTTGTTAAATAGGTCATGGTAAAGCTTTTGCCCATAGTATGTGTGTGAACCGTAGAGCATTGTTGGAATGAACTCTAGTTAGCCAATTTGTGCGCTACATGGAAAGCCCTCTAGACTTGTAATACCGTTATAAAGGGGCTGAGCTGCATTCAGGATGGGGGAAGCTGTCATGTGCAGGGCGTATTTCTGTGTCATTTGAATCAGAATGGATTTTCTCATCATCTGCTTTTGGCATTTTCTTTTGTCAAGAATTAAAGGGGAAAAGCAAAAAGTAAGTTTGAGTGCAGATGATTCATGAGCTGAGTGCTGCTCATGGTTAAATCCACAGGTTCTAAGGAGATCCCTGTTTGGGGATATTTTTTCAGCAAAAGTATCAAGCCAAATCCTGACTCTGTACTTTCAGAGAGATGTCTAGATTTTTGTCCTCCAATAATACATTATATAGCTGGTTACATTCATATATGAGTCTATATTTAAGCATAAAATGAACAGATTATTTGGCATAACAGTTGTGGAAAAGCTATGTAATCCTCATTTTAATTCCTTGTTTTGCCTAGCAATAAGGTTAAGGACGTCTTAGCATTGTTCTTTGAAGGTTAGTTATCTAAGAAAGTTTGAGTACCAGTGTTTCATTCACTCCATACCTAACAGTTATTGCCTAATTGGATGTAAAGTCTCTGGACCACTTGTGAAGAGAAACTTTAGGTGGCCACTTGGGACAATACTGTATTACAAGAAACTGTGGGAGGTGAGGCCACAGCTGATAGCAATGAATTTTCTACAGGAAACTCAGTTGGATTCACTTTTATTCAGTGTTACTTTGTTTTCTAAAACAATACGTGTTCTCACCTCTGCTCTAGATTGCTTTTCATGTAATTTCACTCTGTTTTTTAATACCTGTGACTTTCCTACTGCTTCCATGGTAAAAGAAGCCCATGTAACATTGATCAGGTATATCAGCATTAAAAAGAAAGAAAATATGATGTCCCACAATAATGGTTTGTGGGAGGGAGCATCCGTGCTTAAGAGACAGAAAAAGAAGCAAACAGTGTGCTGTTAGTACCTGTGAGTAGTCTGTCAGGAGGATAAGTCCTTTCACCACGTTAATGAGATCTCCAGTTGCTGAGAACATTTTAGACATTAAATCACCATACCCTTGGAAAAATGTAACTGGCCTGAGTTGGACATCAAACAGAATGGCTGACATGCCAGCATAGGAGTCCAGGTTTTCCTCGCCTTCATCAGGAGTTGCAGCTATTATGGACTCCAGACCTTGAGCTTCAATCACCACCTTAGAAGCAATAGTGATAGATAATCAGTGAAAAAACTCTGCCCAACCCAAGCTGTTAACAACCTTGTACATTTTCTTGATGTCTAAGAGCCTGATTCAATTTTATGTAGTTGCAGATGAAAAAGAGTGAGGTTAAGACTTAAAGAAACTAAGAAAAGCAGCTAGAAAAATGGAAAATTAAGTAATCTCATGGCATGATTCTTCCCTTCAGGTGCAGGCAGAAGCTGCCCACATGCAGATCACAACCTTGAGCCTACTTTCAAACAGATTTTCCTTTATCCTTATGACTGTTTTCCACAGACAGCTGGGAGGAAAACCCAAAGATGTTCCACTGCACAATTTTTGTAGAGGATTATAATATTGGAGATACTTGCCAACACTAAGAAGAGTTCAGAACAGAGGCATCACATTTAAATCTCCAAATCGTGCATTTGACCTACTCCTTGTATTTCTGCTCTATGTTATACCCAAACAAACTCATAAAGCTTTTACTGATTATATCAGGCAAATAGTATAGGCTTTAACTAGAGACAGAACTTGATACATGATACAGAACAAAACACCTTTTTGGTTAGGGCAAACATGTGCCTCATTGGCTGTTGTTTCTTTTTCCCGTTACTGGTTTGTTCTCTGCCAAGTGCAGCAAACTTAAGCATCAGCTGAATCAATTTTGAAGCTGTAAGAAGAGGACCACATACTGGCAGAGTTTTCATGTACAGTGTGGCAGTTACCTGGATGGCATGAAGTTCAGCATTTCTATCAAAAATTCGGATGTTCATGTTACTTCTCCTTAAAATGCCAGAGCCTGAATAAAGGATGTCAAGGCTGTATGTAGATGATACATCTGGACCACCTTAATTAAAAAAGGAAGAAGGCACCTGTGACTAAACTAGTGGATTAATCAAATGTTTGGGAATACGAGCAGGGTTAAAAGGCAGTTTCATGGTTACATACGTATAATATAGCCAGAGTAGGCAGAGGAAGAGCCCGTCTTGGAGAAGCGATCATAGTTATGAGCACGCATGTCCTTCAGAACTTGCCGAACTGTTTTGCTGTGGTATTTCAAAACAAACAAATGAACAAAAACACAGAGACACAAAAATGTTACAGTACCAAATGTATTCCTGTTCTGTAGAAATACCAAATTGGAGAAAAGCTGAATTTCCCAGTAGGAAAGAAGGTCTTCAGAACCCTCACATCGTCACACTAAAAATCTGCCCTAACCCAGAGTCTCTTTTCTAACTGAGGTACTCCCTGCAGTCATAGGTAGAAAGGCAAGCAAAGATCTTCCTTGAAAATTAATAGTGTTGAGAAAAAGAGATAATTTGATCATTTTCATCAGTGCTGTGATGTTTAGAATTTTCTGTTTCACTGGTTCTTAACATATAAAAGCAAGAGCCCCACTGAAAGAATTAAGACCAACAGATGTCAGAGTTGAATTTATTTATACTGAACTTAATGTACCTTGAAGGCATTTCAAAGTGAAGTATATCTTGGATCATGGAGAGCATGTACTTGTTCATTTCTGGAGGCAGTTCACCAATAGAGAGCAGGATGTTTTTCACTTCCATGTAGGATGGGTTACTGTTTAAGATGATAGCAGCTGCAGTGGTTCGCACTGTCTTTTCATGGACTCTGCGATTCTGGTGGTATATCCTGTTCATTGTTTCTTTCACCTGGTCAGGAAACAGATTATTCAGTCAGTGCTCACACAGATGACTGAGCAAAGTACTGACTGGAATCTCGTTTATAATGTCACCTTAAGCTAGCTCCATAGCTAAGGCTAATACTTAAGGATATATTTTCAGCACCCTGTGTTTTCATGGTTCTTTTGTAACGTAAGAGCCTTGTAGTTCAGTGACCACATGGGCAAGTAGGGCATTTGTTATGTTCACTCACTGATTTTCACAGCAGGGCTGTAAACAAGCAGAAGCACTAATATTAAAATCCTGTAGCAGTGGTAAGACCAAGAGAGAGATTTCCTTGACTGTTAAGGGACTATGTACTTCAAAAAAATGAAGAATCTTGCAATATTCATTTTCTAGATAGTGCCTGTGAAGGCCTCATGTCCTTGAGAAGTCATGACAAATCTTTGTTACAGATAAGTCCATAGAAAGCCATGTAACCCCACTGACAGAACAGCCTCTGGCATATTCACTGCAGAGCAGCACCCTGACAACCTCAGTCACAGCTGCCAGCAGTAGTTATGGAATGGGGTGCAGGGTAATGCTGCAGAGGCAGGACCCCATGTTCCACTATTTCTTCCCTTGCTATTGGAGGCTGCAAGGTAAGATACAGCTATTTTACTCTTTTCTTACCTCATGCTTTCTGCCTGGTTATGCAGGTGCCCAAATGTTCCTAATGTCTCCTGTACATCACAGAGGAGGCGGTGCTCTTGTGAAAGGAGAACAGTTCTCCCTGCAGACTGCCTGCCACCTTCGATGGCTGTGTGTGGCTCTGGAACCAAAGGCTGAATAGCACTGGCAGACTGGGAGCTGGGATTTGGCAACCAGGAATGTATTAGAGTTTTCTGGCTGGAACTAGAGGCAAACTAAGAAATAATTTCCTGGGGGTAAAAGTAAAACGTGGGGCATCTTTAGAAAGAGTGGGGCTGACAAATGAACTCTGTTTATATTTTATGTTTAATCCAGTCTCTTGCACTTCTTTTCTTGGGCAGTATATTTTCTTACCTCTTTGGTGAGAAAGGAAGGATCATATCTCTGCAAGGCAGTGGCAGCAAGATTGCCGATAGGCCCTTCTGACTCAGTATACTTCAGAAGCAGTGGAATTGCTTCGGGAAGGAGTGCATTCTTCAGTGCCAGCAGGTACATCCTCACATTGTCATCTTTCTTAGCCTTCTCCAGTCTACTGAGAATCAGCCTTTTGGCCTCTACAACAGCCTAAAGAAAGCCAACAGCATGTTTAAATGGTGATCACAAACCTTCCTTTTTCCCTTGCAGATGTAGGAGGAGCAGGGCTGGGTTCTAGCATGTTTAGGTTCAAAGCACCATTGCACAGAGTTTGCAGACTGTATGAGGATGGCTTCCTTCAGCATAAACAAAGTGATTATAGCCACAGTGACACCTGGTCTATAGGTTTATCATTTGCTAGCTGCTCCTCCCCTGATTCAGGTCTTACTTGTGAGGTCAACATGTCCCCCCAAAAAAAGGCAAGAGAAGTGTTCATTAGTGCTTCATAACATAATGTCACAAGAACACTTGGCAGCAAATACTTGGCATAAGAACAGGAGAAGGAAAAAGGGACTCCCAAGAGTCATTCAGATGCTCTGTGTCTTTCCAGTGGTGTGCTGCAATCCCAAACAGCACAGGTAGCAGTGCCCTGTCTGATCACCAGCATCTACTCAGTCCATGGTCAAGATTACAGCCTTCCTCCTCTGTTGTTCAATGCATATTCGGGGTAGAGCTGAGTACTTGAACCAATGATTTTTCTTCACAGAGCTGAAATAACCCAGGTGATTGCAAATATTAAAGAGGTCCTGAGTTTGCCAGTGTTTCTCTGAGGACATGCAAAGGTTTTGGACAAGGAAGCAAAAGTACTGCTTCCACTGACAGGCTAGGCAGTGAGAAAAAGTTCTGTCAAGCGAGGCAAACTGGGAGAAATGGGAAGACACCAGATTAAAGCCTAAAGCTGACAAAATCAGTGTCATTAAAAAAAAAACAAAAAACAAAAAACAAACCCCAAAACAAACAAACAAACCCCAAACCCTCTGTCTGTCAAACATAGGATTTTATGGGCTTATTTTAAAACAGCGGGGAATACGCTTCCTGTGTCTCTCATGCTTTCCCAGTAACATCAGCAGGGATCATTCACATGTGTTGCAGACCAGAATTTGGCCAGCTGTGATCAGCAGATACTCACTGGCAGCTTGCAGCCTTCTCTGTCACACAGCTTTCTGATGAGCGCTCCCATGACAATGACAAGAGTTTCTCTGATTTCTTCATTTGCGATATCCTCCTTGAACTTTGCCTGTTACGCAAAAGCAATGCTGTTAGTCTCCCTGAATATGACGAACCACAGTTTGTAGTGGGCTGAATGCCCTCCCACGTTTCCTGTGAACATCAGTGCACTGCAAAGGCAGTGATGACCGCAAGGGCCTGGGCTCAGGCTAAGCAGAGCGCTGCTCTATCATTACATAAAATAACTGACGGCCATTTTCTTCGTGAGTTACATTCAGTGTCCCAAATAGTAGATTCCTTTTGAAGCAATGTTTTAAAAAAGAAATAAAGAGTATTAAATGGTTACAGAACTTTGATAAGGCAACAATCAAACAATCCTCAAATAATTGTGCTAACAGCCAGAATCATGTTTGCTTTCCGAGTAGTAAATATTGATAACATTTTACAGAGTAAATAGACTTTCAGTCTGGACCTATGAATTTTTGTTGTTTCCAGGCTGTATGCTGCTGGCACACTTAAAGGTAACTCTGGAAGGCATAAGGAAAGGAAAACTGGAAACAGGAACAGTCATTTCTTCTTCCCATCCCCTTTGACAGGGATAAGGCACAAGAGTATAAACTGCATTGTGTCTGGTTTATCCTTTGACTTACAGTTAAAGATTTCAGGAGCGTTTCACTGGGGTGAGAAGCAAATCCACAGGCATACAGGAATCGCTCCTGCAGGAGAGAAGTGCTTTCATCCTTAAAGTCAAGAAACTCCAGTATGGCCTCCAGCGATGCTGCGGTCTGAGCAGAGGTTATGGCATCCACTACCTGCGGGCTACAAAGAAGTGGAAATGAAGATATCATTGTAAAGAGCTAGAGAATACTGAAAAGACTTTGCTGCGTATAGAAAGAAAGAAGCTAATGTGCTGAAAGATCTCTTTAGTGCAGGTAAGAGACAGAATTTTTTACTCTTGGAAAAAAGCTGTGTCCCTGAATTCTTCCTCCTCAAAATGGTAGATGTACTCCAGAAATTATTCACATACATGGATAATAATATTTGAATGTATGCAAAAATGGGACAAAGGAAGTATTAAAACCCCCAGAACTATCCAGAGAGTCTTAAAGTTTACAGGACAAGGTTGTAAATGGAAAAAAGTGTTTATTTCTACATACACAGTGACTACTAGAGAACAGGCTTCTACACTATCTGAGTTACTCTCAGGTTTATCTCTGTTATTAACACCTGCTGTAATTTGTTTGAAAGATACTGACTGTATGGTGGGATACTCGGAAATGCTTTCCAACCCCCCATACTAGGTGTGCATGCTGTTCACACCCAAACTCTAATATTAGGACAGTAACCAGACATGAACTACTTGGCTGTATTTCCATTTGAGGGAAACAAATGGGCAAGTCAAGAACAAGTTATAGAGTGCTTCAGTCAAGCAGTCAGGATGAGAACCTTTGAGTAAGCTACTAAGTGTGTTTGCCATCTTCTACAGATACAATCAACATATACAAATATTGTACCTGTAGATGTTTGCAGCACATTGTTCATATTACACCACAAGAACAAGCACAGCTTAAGAAAAAAATCCTTTTCCTGTAGACAATACTGAATACTGGTTTTGCATTGCTAGGACATCACCAGTAGAACTGAATCTCTTTGCATGCAGTTTGTCCTTCTGCAGTTTTAAGTAACTTAAACCTTTTGAAAGCTTGCTCATAATGACTTACAGAAGTTCTTTCTTTTCACTTCTAATAACCTGCAGTATCTCCTCTTTCGTAGCTTTTCTGATGTTCTGAATGAAGGACAAAAAGCTTTTTGCTGCTTCAGCTTTGGAGAGTTTTTCAGGATACATTTGCTCTCTGATACTCTTCCAGTGTTCAGAAAGCTGCAAAATAATTCACATTATGTCAAGTTTCTTAGATTGTGGTTTCAGTTCTTAAAATCAGACTTACCAGATGCAGATATGTGGGCCAGCTGTTGCTCAAATTAGCTGAAATCCGATAGATGGCTCATCCTTTACTAAGTATTATTTGATTTATGATATCTCAGCACAAATATTTTTGAAACCTTTCTATAGCTTTCACTCTTCCAACACTTTAGTATTTTCCTGATAATGTACATTGCCTTAAATGCAACTTATTTTAGAACGAAACCTGATTATTTATACTGCAACTGCAAATAAGGTGAATTCTCTTCTCTTGAAAATTTACTTTGCTTTCTGATGAATATAGTGTTTACCTTCCATTCCCATTTTCTCCTACATAATGTTTTTTAAATTGGGAGATGCACAATCCCCAATTCACAAAGTAATCATATTTTCTTAGAAGATGGTAATTTTTTAAGTGGTTACTGTGGAACAGGAATAAATGTCCCATAAGTAATTTCCATTTTTTATTCATAAACTTGCATAAGACAGGGAGAGATTTGTGGTTATTATGCAAAATGATAGGTAAGATGGTATTAGAACAGGTCTTGGCCTCTTGACATGTTGCTGCTATATTTATTCCACGCATCACATTTTTGACCTGAATGAGCCAACATGGTACCAATGCACCTCTATCTGTCCTTCCAGATACACTCCCATAAGAATCCAGTGCAGGTATTTTGACCTTTCCTCTCTCACTTGCCTTTGCCTCTGTTATCTCAAATTATTGAGAACATTCCTTGGTGAAAACTCAGCTGTTCTTTGCAGCAGTTTTTACTGCAGTTTTCCCAAGTGGTAAATATCACTAACACCCATTTGACCTTTACTAAAATACTTCCTTTCTTCAAGGGTTTTGTATTAGGCAATAGCACTTGAACCTGCCCGCAAATAGAAGTATCATTCAGCAGTACAGAGTGCAACTTCCATCAACTGTAACAAACAATACTTAGGCAACAATGATTGAGACATAGGATATTTCCTGAGGATTAATGACCAGCTGGGAGGAGCTCGCGTTCTGAGGCACAGATGGGTCTGTTAACCTCAAATGGTGATTAGTACTTCGCACCAAGGTCAGCGTGGCTATTATAAGCTGAAATTGGATAAACGTATGGGGGGGCATTTTCTATTCCCTCTGTTGAAATTGCACCATAGCACAGCAAAAAATCTGTCACCTCATTGATCCTGATTGCCTCCTTTGCAGAGCCCAGCTGTGCAGGCAGCTCTCAGTCAGCTTAGCCCATACCCTAGAGACACCAAGCTGGAGATGTGAGCTGAAGCCATCTCAAGCAAAAAAGAGTGAAGGTCAAGTCTTCCTCTTGGGGAGGGGTGCTCTAGCCATTCAACTGCCACAAGGAGCAGCAGCCATCTCCTGTAGTGACCATGACTTAAAAAAACAGCATTCACAACTGACTTTTGCAAGGGGCCTCTTTCTGATGATGTGAATGTCAGGCAGTGTGGATTGAATACCCCAAGGATTCAGGGACAGATGTATTCACTTCCACATGGGAACTTGTCCGAGCTCGGGTGCAAATCTCTTTCTCTGACAGAGAGATCAGACCAGAGGTCTCGAGGACACTCTAGGAAAATTGAAGCCAAACCAAGAGGTCCTAAACTGAGCAGGAGCTGGTTTTGAGTGTCAGTACTGGACAACTGCTTTACCAACCTAGAAAGGTTGGCTGCACAAGTCAGAACAAACCCACCTTATTTTCAGAAGCGGCAAGCATCTGTTCTTGTAGGAACCAGAAGCATAAAAAAATGTAAGAACTATGGTCTCTCCTGAAAAGAACACTCTTTATAATGTCTAAACACAGAAATCTAGGCCTAAATTTAAATGTAAATGTTGGCCATAACCTCACATAAGCTAATGTTGCCATCCGTGAAGTGGGAACAGTAATGGTTATTTTACCAAATTCATAAAGATAGAGATAAGACCTGTTATGATTTTAAAAGGGTTTTGAAAACATAAAACTCTTGAGCATACCATGTCAGCATGGCATTAATATATACTATGATATATAAGTACCAAATGTTATGTTGCTGCTTTGGATACAGTGTTCTGTTTATAGACCCCATCTCTTCGTAGCAGCTACTGTAAAATACAGTAAGAAAGCAGGACTTCATTCTCATCGTGCCATTAGGTTTTTAATGGTATAGCTCAGTCCCCAGGCAGTGCTCTGGGATTATACCCTATGTTTGTTATCTTGGTCTGGAAATTATCTCTATAACTATAATGACAAACTCGGTTCCAAGTGACAAATTGGTCAGCACAAACCCCGATGGGCAGAGTCAGGGAAAAAGCACCTGTCTCTGCTCTTTTTAAGATCCCTTGATATTCCCTGCTCAGAACTGCTCCAGCACACATGCAGCATCATTTCTATTTCATTTCCCCAAACACATTTTTTATATTCTCTGCAGCTCAACAAGCATTAGACTACTTAAATAATTAGGGTGCAATGCTATTTCCAAAGAACTAACACAAGTTCCAATATGGTAAGGTATTTGTGCTCATAAGGGGTATCTCCAGATGATTAAAATTATGTGTGCTGAATAGAAGCCTTATCTTGCTTATCACAAACTGATAGAGAATAATAATCTCTAAATTAATGTTCCCATTCACTGCTAAATTCATTCCACAATATCATTAAAACTGTTTGCTAACAATCACTGTAGCGATTTATATTAGTTATGATGAATAGCATCAGTAAAACAGAAGATAATGCACTTACAGTATCAGGCTCTTAGTAGTCTTTAGATGTCTTAAATATAAAAAAACCCCAAGTTGTTGTTTGTTTGGGTTTTTTATCAGGGGAAAAATGAGAACACTATTGGACTTGCCAAGAACACTAAAGCCCTATTTCGTATTTATAAAATACCTATAAAGTCTTTTAAATAAAATACTTCCTTCAAGGTCAGGCAGTAAGAAGAGGCTAGATGTATTACCAACAAATAATTAGCCTGCCTAAGGAATGGCTAACTACCTTTAATTTCTAGGAGCAGTTCAGCTCCTCCATGACAAAATTGTTTCTAAACACTGGCCAACTATGTTAAAAGTAATTTCCCACTGTGTTACCCAGAGGAAAGTAGCTCCTGCTAACTCAAAGTCGGCAAAGATGAGATAAACCAAAAGGGTGTTGTATTTTCTAGTAGTCTTGAGAAATACTGCACTTAATCTTTGAAAGAAAGCAAAAAGGTTGGTACTTTTAGAGGTAGATCTTAAAATGCCTTTGTGTGGTGGAGCACTATTGCATCACTGCTGTGCTCCCCACTCTGGGGTGTATAGACCGGAGTGTTTGCTAGCAGACTGTTTGGACAGAAACTTCTTTCACGCTCATTCTGCTCAGCCAACCAACTTGACATCCAACAAGCTTGTGTTTACTTACTGAAGGACACTTTCTGCATTCGGATTTGACTGGCTCTGCTACTAGTGACACAGCAACGTAACTAGAGTCCAAGGTCTTGATAACACCCGCCACTTGCTTCCCAGCAATCAGTCCAGGCCCAGCTTCTACTGACTTCAGTTCCAGTCTCTGCCTATCCGTCCATACAGTGAAGACACCATTAGAGCAGAAATGCAGAAATCATGGCAAGATGAAACAAAAAACCCCTTCACAGACCAAAAATATACAACACAGACTTACTGAAGTTTTATCTTAAAATGGTTAGAACATGGCAAGTCTATGGCTTTTTTAAGGTAGCAGAAGTATCTGATACCAGCAGAATTACTGCTAGAGATATGTGGCATAAAATACCTAAATAACAGACTTTATAAGTATGGATTTATAACACCTGGTAAACAGCCATATACATTCTGAAACGTTTCATGTATTTGTTCACAAGAAGATCTGGAAAGTGAGAGTGTGAATATACACTTTTTTAATATCATAATACTAAGAAGATTCCTGAATCACTTCTCTTGCATGACTACCTCCAAATTTTCAGTGTGTTGGAGTGCGGAGCCTGACACAGATCTAGGTTTCACTGTTGTTTCCTTTTTATTCAGCAGATTTTGTTTTCTATACTTCTGAACTTTCACATACTAGAAATAAAGATCCATTGGAAGCATTTCTTAAGAAATGAGAGGGCATAGAAACAGAACACATGCAGAAGTAATGTCTTGCCTAAAATGTTTTGGCCAATTCCATCTGTTTTCATTCAATTTCTTATGAATGCCATTATTTCTTATTTTCAGTATGGTATAGCCCGTAATCAAAGTTGAACCTGTTACCATATGGATACAAAAGAGACCTAAATTTTTACCTACAGAGTTTACAGTTTTAGATCTTGATGCTGTAAGACCTGCATATATAACCTGAGTAGAACCACGACATCCTGCTATTATTAGTGACAGTCAAATTGCCCAACTTACTTTGACACTATTTTGGCACCTGTTTTTCGTTGAGAATTCAGAACCAAAGCATAATTTTCTTCTGCTTTAATGGATTTAAAGAAACTGTCTTCCAGCACATAAATTGTGGCAGATGTGGCTTTTGTACTGACATCTAAGATCTGAAAATAATGAAAACATAAACCAGGAAAAGGGCAGATCAGTAAACAACAGAATAGGAAAACAGCTCACAGTTCCAAATCAGGGCAAAACTTGAAATTCAATAGAGCCAAACGAGGAAGGTGCATGTGGGTTGACAATATCTCAAGCTAAGCCTATAAACCAGGTTCTCAAGAATTCCTTCTATAATAAGAAGCCACTCACTTCTGCACCATGTATTTCAAATTCAGTATATGCTGGGGAGGGAAAAAATGAAGGAGGTGAGGAAGTTATGGAGCAGGCTGCAACTAAGAAAATGCAGAGTATTGCATTTAGTTAAAAGTACACCTAAAATAAGATCAAAAGCTTTTCCAGGGAAATTTCTTGTAAATAAGATTGTCATGTTTAGACCCAGGAAGCAAAGCCTAGTTTGATCTGTTTGATCAAACATTGCTTGATCTGTTTGAAAACAAGGTGAAGTCTTTGTGGCAAGTGTGAAAATCAGGAATTCAGTCATAGTGTTAAAGCAGTTTATCAATAGAGCACATGCTACCTTCGTACTTCTCTGAGCTGAGAAAGGTCGGTTTCTGAAGCAGAGAATTTCAGTGCCTTCAGCACGTGTCCAGCTGGCACTCAGTAGTAACTGCTTAGAAAGGCATTTACTAGTAGTAGAGAGCCATCAAGGCCGTAGTAGGCCTTCAGTTACCTCTATGGCACATCTCCTGCATTACACCTGGGGATTAGGAAAACCTTTGACCTTCCAGACAAGCCTGAGTGGGCTCCCCTCAGAAGTCAGCATCTTGCCTGGTGTTTATTGTGTAGACTAAATACTGTGACTTACTTACCAGCTGGGACAAAGGTTACTCTTTTCACTATGACTGTGACTGTACCTAGTGTTTTCCCCCAAAGAAAAAAGAAGCCTCATATCAATTAAAACTTGAGTACAGTCAGGAAAAAGTGCCATAAATCTGCATAGAAACTAAAATATGTTATAGATGAGATAAAAAAAAAATCGTATGAATTTGTGTGCTCTACTTAATATTAGCTGAGCCAAGGTGTTTTACATACGAGGAGAATCCATTCCCTGTTCTCCTCATGAATACTACCTATGAAATTTGTATGAGTAATACTACAAAATGTACATGTAGAATTTGCTTTCTGTAATGCAAGAAAGAACTTTTGAGAAAATGAGCAATAGCTGCTAAAATACATTTTAAATAGGCAGAACAGATTTTATTTTGTTAAAGAAATCTTACCCTGTTGTGGCTGGTAAATCCTTGTTTTTCTATTTCACAGGAGTCCAGGTCTTTTATTTTAGTCACTTGATCTTGCCGCACATGGTAAGTAGTGTTGCACTTCCCAGATATGTCCACCTTGGAAAAAAAAGAGACAGATTATGACAATTTCTTGAATTTACCTTTTGGACCCCAGAGCACCTTCTAAAGATGAACCATTTTCTCCACTGTTGGAATTCTGTACGAGAGATGCCTCACTGTTTGAGTTTATTTATCAGTTTTGAAGGTATCAGTGTTTCTAACTACCTGCTTTGGATAGGCAGGGTAATTTTCGTTAGATGGCTATGAAGGTAAGCAACAATGTGCGCTTAAACTAAGAATTTAGGAAACGTCTGGCAGCTGGCACTATATTCATGGTTTTGGGTTAAATTCCAGCTTTGTTCATCTGGACAGATGTAGAAACTTAACAGTGTAAGGCAGGTTAAATGGATGTGGCTAAACCATTGTTAACTGTGTGTGGATACTCTGATTTAAAATGGCCTAATCCACTGAACTAAGCTTAGGAAATCAACTGACTTTAAACATCGTTGTTTGGGTTTTTTTATAGTGACCTGGTTTAAGTTGATTTATTACCAAATTCTGGTAAATTGATAAAAGAATTTGAAATCAACTGGATTTTCACCGATTCTTTATGTTAATTGCAGCAACTTGACTTGTGTCAGCAAATATTCAGAAGACTGTCTTTATGTTCCCAACCTCAAATGCAATCAAAGGGCTGATATCTCTCACAGTGCATTCCTTCTGAAGTTAGCGGGAGCCACAGGTCTGTCTTTCAGAACAGATTGGGCTCTGCCTGTTTCTCCAGTGATGATTATCTTGCCAGATTTAGCACCATACCTCATGGGCAGGACCAGAGTGCAGCTGTAGCTGGAAAAGGCTTGCCAGACCTCTTTTAATATTTTGAGTAAAAGCAGGTTCATTTTCATATGAGTAGAAGTTTTTGACCTGTAGGAATAAAACCCAAGTATATTACAAATTTGGTTAAATGAGAAAGTAATAGTGAGGATCCTCTCTAGAAAAACTCCCTTTACTTTTTTTTCCTGATCAGGAAGCTGAATTTGGACCTTTTGTGCTTATTTAAGCAAACTCCAGGGGTTACGGGACCTGTCAATAACAGTATAAACATATTTGGGGCTTCAGCTATCCCTAAGTACAGTTTCATTACAGTGAGCATCTTTCCTCCTGTTCATTAGAAAGAATTAAGAAGGGAAATGGGAAACTTCACATAGTTGCACAAGTGACTCATTTTTCTGCATACTTCAAATAATCTCTCCTCACAGGGGCACAATATCTGTTGCACTTTAGTCACAGATTACAAAAATCCAGAATGAATCATAAGTAAATTACAGTTAGAATGACTTAAATGATGTGTCAAACACATTACAACCTTTGTACTTCCATGGGTCACCTGTTGTGCTTGAACCTCTCCTCTACTAAGAAGACTTTGCACCTCCACTTTGCATTCAAGGTGCTTTAAAAGTGCTCTTTTTTTTTCAAGAGCTGTAAGTACAATCAGCATGCTATCTTGGGGCAACCCTGGAAAGTGAAATCACTGTGCCAGGGATGAAAGTATCATACCACAGAGAAATCATAACAGGAGTGTACAGATCCTGCTACCAGAGAAAAAGCCCTAGTTTTTAATACTGCATCTCAATTTTAGCATGTGAACTGCTTAGTGTATTAGAAGCAGATGTATTTTGACTGTGGTGTTCTGATACCTGTGTTCTCATTTAGGGATGAGTACAGTTGGGAGCCAGTGCTGTCCTGTTTTTTCCTTTGTTGTGTAAAACTGATGACAAGGTTGAGTCTGAAAGTTACAGAGCAGGCCTGACAGCAGCTGCAATTCAGTAGGCTGAGCTGGCAGCCAGGGTTATGTGCTCAGTGCCTATTTACAGCAGGAGGTAAAGACCCTGCGGGATAGGATGTCACAGCGCTCTGCTCTGCAGAATAAAAGAAGGAGTGTGACCTTCAACCTTCCTCCTTTTCTCACTGCTCCTCTACCCACGTCCCACCTGCCGAGAATTGCTTGGGCTGCAGGGGAGGAAGTGGGGCTGTTGGCCCGACGCAACAAGGACTGAGAGGGTGAAAGACCATGGACAGGAGGCAGGAGTAGCCACGGCAGCCATGGCCAGAGCAGTAGGCTAAGTGCTAGGGGACAAGTCAGCAGCTCCACAGGGAAAAAGAGGGGGAGATGGATTTACTTCTGAGTGAAACTGGGCAGAGTCCCAACTCACAGAGTTGAGCTCAACTCACAGAGTTGATCTGCAACTGAACACAGGGGGTCGAGCAGTGGAACAATGCTTTGGTGCTTTCTCGGGGCAAGCAACAAAACCCAGGCACACCCAGAGACACAACTGCTCACTGTCCCTTCTCTTCTGAATTTTGAAGAGAGTTTCCCAGTAGACGAACAACATGAAAAACCATCACTCTTTTAGCACCAAGCTCATTAACTCAGGACTGTTGAAACTACAGGTGACACTGAAGTAAATAATCAAGCCAGAGGTGGGAAAAGCTATCATGCTAAAATATTTGTTAAATTTTTATAGTGATTAATGCTGTTCCTCACAGACTCAGCATAACCTCCCTCATCACAAACTGTATTTCCTTTTCTTCCTTCACACCTTGGATAAAATCCTGGCCTCACTGGAGTCAACAGCACATATCTTACACAGCAACTGTGCATGTATCTATGTGTGTACCCACATATTTGTGGCCGTTTACTTCCATACTGTATGGTGTTCTCAATGCACAAGAGGCTTGGGCTGGAAGGGCCCCTTGTACAGGTGAATTACAGTCTATTCTAAACTGTTGTATTTCATTTGCTATGAGAGTGGTGAGACACTGGAACAGGTTACCCAGATAAGTCTGTGAATGCACCGTTCCTGGCACTGTTCAAGGCCAGGTTGGATGGGGCTTTGAGCAACCTGGTCTAGTGGGAGGTAGCTGTGCCCATGGCAGGTTGGAACCAGACGATCAAGGTCCCTTCCAACCCAAAACATTCTGTGATTCTATGATTCTACATAGAACGATAGGACACTATGGCATATTAAGAACACTGAAAGGATAGTTATTTGGTGAATTCTCCAAGCCTGTACAAAAAGGTTTGTCTCAGATTTCCTTAGGGATTGAATTTCCAAAGACAGGGTCTTACTTTCCCACGGACTAGCTCAAGAACTATAGGCCTCTGTAAAGCTTGCAGATATTCTTTCCCGATGATCTTCTCTGTGTTTTTTCCTTTGAAGATGTTTTTCTCAGCTGGACGTTCATTCACATTTTCAACTTGAACATCTCTTATCTAGCAAAGTAAAAGCAGAGAAAATTTGTGTAGAGAGCAGTCTAGCACTAGCCTGGGGTAGGTTGGATGAACAAAATCACCTAATACACCTTTTTTATTTTTCATTTCTGATTCTGATCATTAATACTCCATGATTACAGTGTCTATGTTTTCAAAGGAAACCAGCACTCACCACTGGGGAGATAACTGGCAGAAAAATTTACCATAAAGCTAAGTACCAAACCCAGTTTGTATTTAGCAAATGTCATGATTTTCAGCTATAATGAAGACTTCAGAGAACCTATTGTCCCTCAGTAGGTGCTTGCACACCAATTGTTTGAAGCTGCAGAAGCTGTATGAAGCCACTTCAAAATACAGGAGATACTCTGGTGTTCTGGTTTATGATGTTAGATATACTCTTGTGAGTCTTACTTTATAGGAATCAGCTTATCAAAGAAACTAGTTGCAGCTAATGAGACTAGAGAAGAATAAAATGTTTAGCTCATCTTCTGAAAATGAGTTCTTCAAGATTAGATTTATAGTTAGATAAATGGGCATGTTTTAAGTTGTCTGATGGCATTCATTACCGTAACTTTGACCAACTGGTCATCATCATTCTCAGGATTTCTCCATAAGAGATTGACATCCACACCAGAAGAAAGCCGGTATCCTGCACTCTTCTGCAGTGATGCTTTCACCTGATCAACATACACTTCAGTAGAGTAAGCAAATTTATATAGCTTGTCATTATTTAAGCTTGGTCCAGTAGTGTGCCCTGTTTGGAAAGCAAAAAAAACCCAGTGTTTTAGAATTGACTGACTCACATAATCTGTTATTTTTTCTAAGAAACAACTTTAGAAAAATGAAAAAATTAGTTGCCAACAAAAACTTTATGGGAACTTGCCACCCGTAATTACAGAGGCTTGTCCCACTGGAGCAGCTGGCGAGTTTCATGATTACATTGACACTAATCGCATATATTTAAGATAAGAATGTGCAGAAAATCCATTGTTCTCTCTCTACACTTCAATAATTAAAGAAAGTAGAATTTTTTACCTTGGATATGTTAGAGTTAGAATTGATCCATAATTATTTGCAACTCCAAATACTGTAACTAATCATGCAATCTGTGTGTTTATCAATTTGAGATGCACTAATGTAATATGTTGGAGCCAACAGAAATTGCTCTCTGCATCTATTGCACATTGCTGGGAATCTTTCCATTGAGCCTTACTTGGGGGTGACATGAATGTAATGAAGACATTGGGAAAAATTTTTTAGATTAAGTAATTAAGCCTTTATTCTTTAAACTAAATAATTGCCCCCTTAGCTGTGCCTCTGCTTTTAACTGATGTATTTTAAGGGATATAAAAGCCAAATTCTAGCATAAATGCAATTTGCATACACAATTTATGGTGCCATTTCCATCTGCATTAACAACAACTCAGACAGACTGTTCCCTAGGGATTTAGTTGCACTCTTATTACTGCAAATGAAATCTGTAGTATACAAATGACTTATATTTTTCCTTTATAAAACTGTTTACTACCACACTATTTCCTATCTTCTCTTTCTTTTGGCTCATGCACAGCCACGTGGGGAATATGTGGCACCAGTGTCACAACTCTCTAGCCATCCTCAGGAATTAAGACCATGCTGCTAAAATCTGTGTCTAAGGAAAATCTATTTCTTCTTGAATACCCTTCAAGTATTTTGTTGTGAAGGATATACATAGCGTCTCTTTTCCCTGCTTCTGAGGGCTTCCCTCTACTGTTGTGGATGGCTACAAAGGTCTCTTCCAGACATGAAAAACTGGTGAAGTCAGTAGAGGGAAGGGAAGGGAGGAGAGGCTGGCTGTACACAAAGTGCTCTTACGTCTGCAAAGCAAATACACATACAGTGACCTTAGGTGCTATCTGTAAGCAGCACAGCACTAGCCTCTCAGACCCCAGTGCTGAACCACTGAATCCATTGGGAATTTCTTCATGGAGTTCAGAAGGTACAGAGCAGAAATGACAACAGATTTAATCTAAGAAAAGCAAAGTGCTGTCCTCAGGGAGATGCATCTCGGTCTTATGACAAGAGCAGGGAAAAAATAAAATCTAACAAAACATCTCAAGACAAATTCTTAAGCATGCTGTAATGTAATCAGTGTGTTTAAAGTCCCTTGCAGAGAATCAGCAGGCTATCTTGATTTATGCCATGTCCCTCTGTGTTTTGTTTGACTCTGCTAAATAAATTACAAATCACTATATTGGTAAAAAGGAAAATCAAAGCCTTATTTCACTCTCAGAGTTTAAATACCAATTAGGTAGGTATAGTGCATAGTATAGTTCCATCATGGCTGGATGCATATATTCTGCAGTCCTCCAAGTGTCCCAAACCCCCTTTCTTAGGGTTTTGCTTGCTTCCTTTCCCTGTTCACTCAGATGTCATAGCAGCAGATTAAGGTCAGCTTTAAAGAACCTTTCCGTGAGGAAAACGGTCACCCCACTGTGTTTGGTCTGTAAGTTGCGTAAATTGGCAAAGCTACACCAAACTAAACTGACTTATGCTTTACTCCTGCTGGAGATGTGGCACAGCAAGTTTGGTAATCCCAGGGAGAGCAGCCTGTTTGCACGAGGTACAGCTCAAAGCTGTAACTATTGATTTTTTTTTGCAGGGAGGCTGAAGCATTAACATTGCCATGACAGGGCTCTTCTGGTTCTGCATGTCTTTTGTGTCTGCTTAAAACCAAAGTGATCAAGAGGTGTAAAACCCTTCCTTCAGTTTACTGTGAATTTCCTAACCCATTCCCCAATTCCTCTCACTCCGATCAGTTTTGAAGCCACAGTACCCTTGAGGGCAGAGGGTGCTCAGTGCTTTCCCAGAGGTGGCTGTGCCTTTCAGGGACACCCCTGGTTCCTTGCTGTACCTTGGAGCTGGTTGCCTCCTGGTTCAAAATGTCCTTCATTTGAAGCACAAATGGCAGTGCTAATGATTTAGGATCAGCTAAAGTTTTATGAATGCCACCCACTAGGTGCTTTCTGAACACAGAGGGTGACACAGTCCCATCTCAAGGTAAGAGGTGGGGGGAAAGCATATCCAAGAAAAATGATCTGGGAGCAGAGACACATGTGTCTTAGTAGTTAAGGTGGATGTTTGCGGTTTTGCTCCCTCTCTCTTTTCAGTTAAAAGCACCTTTCACCCATCCTCTTCCTTTTCCTGCACCTCAACCCATAGATCTTCTTTTCCATTTTCAAGAGTTCCTTCACCTTTCCTCCCTTTTAGCATTTGCTTGTCCCCACGCAGAAAAGAGCCACTCCCTCCCGAAGGAAGTAAATGAGCAAATGACACAGCAGCTTTTCGCAAATGTCATGGAAGAGATAAATAACTGCATATGATTTCTGGGAGTTAGGAGAATATTATGTTCTGAATGCTTTCACCATTTCATTTGTGGAAAACACTGCAGAAGCCAGGACAGAAGACACCTTTGGTTGCAAGACTGGTGTCACTGATGGAAAAGGGTGAGCCAGCAGTGGATCATGATAAGAGAAGCAGCAGGGATAAGGCAGTCCCAAGGAGTTAGCACTTACTCAAGTGCAAATGGGGAAGCCAAGAGAGACAATTGGATAACATGGTCCGTTTGAGAGGCAAGAGGGATACTGGTGGCTGAGGGGCAGAGACACAGTGTCACTTCCCAGAATCAGTATTCAAAACAGCATTACTAAATTTTCATACCATCTTTCATGAGGAAAACACCTGTACTACTTAAAACATTATATTCCTACACCTTTGATAGAAACTTGTCTTAAAAAAACCCCTGCCTTTAGAAGCTCTTTCCTTTGTCACTGGAATCCATGCTGCCTGTACAGCAATTGCCATTTCAGCTGATAGCAAACATCCCACTGACTGAGAAGGAAGGAGAGATGGACATAAGACTGCAATCAGCCATGCTCTCTTGGGGTTAGAAGTGCCTGCTTTCAAGGTGGAGTGCATAACACATAGTTTGACTAGTCAGGTTAAGTGTCTGTCATTAAGGGTAACATGCCAAGTCTATAATTAAATCGTGATACTGTATAATACAGAAGGTTACACTGCATGAGTAGAGACAGCTGTCAAGCCCTGTGCCTTTTATTAATACATATGGCATGCATAGCATGTGTGTTTCTAACTACTTGCTAGCTCTACCTTCATAAATTATATTTGCCACTGTTTCTGATACTGGATAGCTTTAAAAGCAAACCCCATCCGCTTCTTTGAAAATACTTTTAAAGTGGAACTGCAGTAAGAAAGTTTCATGTGCGCTGATCTAGCTGACTTGAAAAGAATATTCCTTCTATATTTCCAAAAGGCAGCATGGCCTGGTGGAAAGGTAAAACACTCACCCTAATCCCAGCTCTGTCACTGAGGCATTAGGGGCTGGGGCCAGTAAATTAGCTCTCAATCTTTCTGCACAAGAGTGAGAGAAGACCTGGCAGAGCTTAAGGGAGGACTAATTAATGAGAAAATCCTCGCTGGGTATCCTGGTGATGTGAAGTGACAAGGAAATACTACTTCACATCAAGAAGAAGCTGGGACAAGCAGATACCAGAAATATGGGACACCAGTATCTAGCCATAATCATTACACTTGGCATTACACTCATGGGTAGAGGAATTGCCTGCAAACTTCTCTGCTTCATAACTCCGATCATAATGGGGTATGGAGGTAGGAAGGGAAGCTGCTGCTGTGTGCTTACACTGATACAGTGTCCTGGATGCCCTGCAGGGAGCAGAGGGAGACACCCATGAGAGCACTTCTACAGCCTTTTTAATAGTTTAACCTAGGATGGCTCATGATGAGGACATACTCATTAAACCAAAAATTAGGTGTTGGCTCATGTCGTAAGGTTTCTGCTCCTCTAAATTTAATGTCAGGTTGTACACAAAGGGCCACTACTAAAGACACATTTCCTTGCTTCATACACTGCCACTGCTGAAGTGGGCAGTCTCCAGATTTCATACCCTTGACCTTTGTCAGGACACCTGAGTAAAGCCCTGCTCCCAGGGCTTGTGCAGACATCCAGGTTTTCATGGCTTATTGCAGAGCAAGCTTCCCATGAAATTAATGGGATGCTTGTTACTGACTTTAGTGGTAGCTGAGTCAACTGCTCAGAAGCTGAAACCTGGAGAGCCCTGAGCACTTCCTGGCTCTGCTCCACCAAAGCCCTTCTGTGTGTTTAACTTTTGAGTGTGTGAATAGTCTCTTTCAAGTTGGTGCCCCCACAGCATGTCCTGACTAAGCAAGGTCAAGATCCCCAGTCTCCTGGCTCACACTGTGGGCCCCATGCACCTGAAAACACTGACTCCTCCATCCCCTTTGCCGACATGAATGCCACAAGCACCTAAACCTTTTCAGTTACTAAATGAGTTTTGTATTACTCAAGGATGGATGAGTAAAGATGATATGCAGGTAAACATGACCTGCATATACACACTGGTTATGCCTTCACTGAGCCAAAAGCTGAATCAAGCCCGGTACAGACCTACCTTTAACAGAGGCTGAATAGGTGGAAATGATGCAAAGGAACAGCACGGTAAGAAGAATCATGCTGGACTTCCCTGAGCTCCTGACTGCAGCATGAAGTGTGAGAGCCTCCAAGAAGTGAGCTGCTGAGAGTGGAGGAGTGCTTGCTGAGAGAAACGCCAGGCTGGCCACACTGTTTATCTAGATGTAGTAAAGGTCAGATTCCAAATTCCACACTCAGGTACTAAGTTCATTAAAGGACTTCCAGTTAATTATTAAGAACTAAGGTAACTGGTGGTTTCTACCCCACTTTATCAATCGCCTCATTTTTGAATGCTGAGCCCACGCAGCCACATTTGTGAGTGGGAGAGCCCATCTCCAGTCCTGGCAGGACCAGATCTGTTACTCCTCCTCTCTCCGAACAAAAGGGCTATCAGGTCTGTTGCTGCCAGGGGCCAGATCCTCACCACTGCCTCCACTGTATTGTATCATACAACTCTGCGAGCAACGCCAGAGGCAGATGATTTTTAAAGGTCTTCCTGGAAGGAAGAGTACATGGGGTTTATTAGTGCTATCCCTAAAAGTGATGCTACTTTTTACAGAGACTAAGATATATGTCAGTTCCTGCTATATTATATCCTACCAAATAGATTCTCTGTCTTTCAGCAGCCCCAGCCCCCATCTTACATCATTGCAGTGGCAGAGGTTAGAGACTGAAAAGGTGAGATAAACCAGCCATTCTGTCCCATGTCAGTGAAGAGTACCTGCTTGTCTGGGTCTGGAAGCAGAGCAAACCAAACCCTCATATTCACCTCTGTTTTTCCCTTTTCTCACACTCACCACCTCCCCTGATAAGCCCCCACCTGACTAACCTATGTGCTTCCCTGTTTCCTCTGAGAGTAAATCCCAGGCCATGTCACACTAAGCCTCACGGTCACAGGGCTCACTAAAGGACCTCCTTCTCCCTCAGGTGATAGTGGGGCAGTAGGTCACCCCCCTATGTTCCTTGGCACACCCTGGGGGTCACATCCTGCAAGGGGGTAACGTCTCCCCAGCATACGAAGCCTCCCTAGATCTGTGAGGAGGAAGGCTCTGGTCCTGCTGGTGGAGAAGGCACATCCGTGAGCCATTACCATGCTCCTCCATTCCACTTCCAGAGGTTGCTTTAACAAGACTGCAAGCTACAAACATCCTGACTGAACTGGTACCACCCCAGGCTGCATTTAGTTGCTTCTAACATGCCATTTCTGCCACCAGCTCCTCTGCCTTAGTAAGGGATTGTAAGGTGAGAACAGCCTTCACCTTGGGTGGTACAGATGCCTCCTTTATCGCCTTGTGGTAAAAGAAAAGCTGAGCACTATGGATATCAGTCATTGCCCTGCAGTGGGAAACAGCAGGTCCATGCCAATGCTTCTTGCTCACACTCGTCTCCACACCTTGTGGAAGTCCCCTCGGGAGCTCTTCGCATGTTGTGTGTGAGTGTGCATGCACGTGGGAGGAAGGAGATTAGTAGGAAACCCTGGGACTGCTACTGCTTCTCTCCAGTTTGTGGTTACTTATCCTGCTTCTACAGCGTAGGCTGTGACATGCTCCTGAATTCAAGGCACTGAGGCAGAGGACTCCAGCTGATCCTTTTGCTGCATTTGGTAAACAAGAAGCTTGCCAGGCTGTTTGCAAAACCAATCCTGGCTAGAGAGAGACCGGAGGTATAGATCCTGCTTTGGAAATGTAACGTTCACACTTCACTCACAAGGAGGAGTTGGTGTTGGTCTGAAATCTGGAGAGAAGCAATTGTCCTCTTCTTATGCTCTTGGGACACAGGAAATTTATTTCTTCCTTGCAATAATGTTATTAGTAAAAGGTCCTCTCTTAGACACTAGAATACCGGAGGCCAAATCCCCTGCTAAGTCAGCGTTATCGCTTTGAACACCACTGTAGTAGTGCCAATTACAGAACTAAGGATGTAACCATCATGTAAAGAAATAGTGTACATACATTTCTATGTGCATATACATGTATACACCTATATACACACCCATAACGCATACTAGGTATATTCCTCAAATGTCTTACAAGCAGGACGCCTGAGCCTCACCTCAGTCACGGCCACAGTAAATCATGAGTGACTTCCTTGAAGTCAAATTACACCAATGAAACAAGTGTTGCGCCCACCAAAGTCCATTACACGCAGAGGTTGCAGGATGAGCCCCTAATGCATGCTTCGTGCCATGCTGGCATATATACTGGGGTCAAAGTATTACTGTTGCTGCACATTCTCCAGGGTCCAAACTATAAGGCTCATATCTTTATGCAGCCTAATAAAACTAATGAGATTTCCTCACATCTTCTGAGATCAACAAAATGTTTTTGTCTTCTCAAGCAGCATTGTGAAGATCTGTTTTCAATTCAAACTTTCAGCTATGTGCACCAAAGCACCCCAGTCCATCTTTACCTGATGCCTGTATGCCCCAACTCCTACTGTTTTGGTAAGATACCCCCCGTTCCTGACACTGGCAGAAGATACCCAGCCAAGCCACTGGCTAAAGGTGACTTGTGTGTGTCACTTGCATCCTAAGCTTCACCTCAAGAATGCTGTAATCAGACCTGCACCACAGAGAATGATATCAGTATCCACGCCTGAGCCTCCATGCAGAATCTTTTTTCTTTTCTCCGCACTCTGCTTCTCAACTTGCAGTGCTGTTCCTACAAAATGCTTCAATATGCAGTTTTAGACTGTCGGGTATTGCGTTTGTTCTCTTGCTGGGGGAACTCCCCCTTCGATCAAGCATCTTAAAAGTCATGTCATGATTTTATCAAAATAATGAAATTCAGTCAGATAGCTATTTCTAGGTATTTGCAACGGCTCAGGGCTTTGTTTTGCTTTGCCACCACTTGACACTTGGCAGACTTCAGAAAATGCTGCATTACCCCATGTCAGTGTCTGAGGACATTGGGGTCTGGATTAGCTTTGGAAAGTGCAATGTGAGAAAAACAGATATATAAATATCAGATAAATGAAAATGTTCAGGAAGTTTCTTCATTCTAAGAAAAAGCACATCTGAATATTATGAATATTTGTTAGATGCCTTCTGGCTTTTTTTTAAAAAAAGCAAGCAAGCAAATAGGCTTCTATTGGTAACTGATCTGCAGCATTTTAATGACCAAAAGAAAATGAAGGATTCTTCATAAGGACAGTGGCACTTTTGGACTCGTGTGATGCTGGAGTGTAAAGCTAGATATTAATAGTAACATGAGTGAGGTTTTAAATAGAACCAACAAAAGCAAATGCAAATCTAGCTATTTTTAAAGTAATGCAGGGAATAGGATTCCTATTAATTAAATCAAATATTACAGCAAATATTAACCACCAACAGCAGTTGAAGATCAGTCTCTTACTATAGTGACACCATAGTTCTGTGACTGTAATGCAGCTGTAGTAAACCTGAAACCAGCACTAAAACTGAAAGACCGTGTATATCTGGAACCAATGAAACTTGAGATAAACACTCATGTGGGTGAAAAGGGTATAATGGCAGCATATACTTATATGTGTGCCTCACTAATCAGAGGCAAGCAGATCTCTACATATTTAGACTGCCCAAAATACATTTTTCTCATATAATCCCAGTCTCTAGAACTCCTGTACCAGGTCAGTATTCTTTCATGAAGTCATCTGAAGGAAAAAGAATAGTCTCCATTTGATGAGTATTGACACCAGAGTTTAAAAAGTGAATTGGCAATGGCCTTTAAAAATACGAAGCATGAAGGCGCATACCCCTTTTTAGGAGCCAGAGGGAACACGGCATTGCTGGGGGACCTTTGGAGCTAGAAATCTGCTCTCAGGAATGTCACCACTTAAAAATACTTCACTGGCCCCTGTGTGAACTCGGTAGTGTCATCAAAACCATCAGATAAAAATAAGGTTTTCTTTTCGCTCCTCTTAATCCCATGGAGCCACCGCAGCCAGAAGCAGGGGGGAAGCACAGCCTTCCTTGTGTCTCTCGCTCATCAGCAGCATGAGGAAGGCTGCGGAGCCTGGCACCGGGTGTTTCAAAGCAGTCGGCTCTCCTGTGTACCTGCCTGCAAGGACAGGCCCTAAAAGCCCCTCAAGCCTGACCACAACACCCATGCCCACCCTCACTCACGCCACTGCC